CCTGCGGCTGTGTCCTGGCTGTGCGCCACCGCCTTCGTCTTCCTCGGATAACAGCGCCCTGTCCTACTGCCTGCCGAGAGGTTGCCTTTCCTTGCATACGATCTGGTGGGACCGTCAATCAAGATGTCCCACCCTTGCCTGACTAAAGGCACTGGCCCAAGCTCGGTCAATGAAGAGTCTCCATCCACGGCAGCTGAATTACAGGCAAAGGGACGGAAAAAACTGGATGCAGTCGGCATCCCTCACCAGCACTGGGGCCTGGTTTTCAACCTTCCCTTTGATTTGACATGCTCCACCCATGTGCTTTCAAAAAAGCCCTTTTTACTTAACTAGATGTGCTGTCTTTTGTTGCTTTCAGCCAGAAAACTGCGGCTAAGCAGCCAGAGGGGTGTGTGGAGTGTCACTGGGCCCCGGGAGAAGGAAAGGGGAGAGGGAGGGGCTGGAGGGCGTGTCCCTGTCTCCTCCTTGCTCAGTGCCAGACAGCAGCACTCACACGAACCGGGAGGTGGCAGAAGAAGAAGTCCCAGCATTCCTCTGTGCACTTTCTCCCAGTTCCAGTGCGAACCGAAGCCAACCTCCCAGCCTCCAGGATTCCTGTGGGGCGATTCCAAAGGTGGAGATGGAGAGACACCCGATCTGGCAGCCCCACCCAAGGGACCTCCACATGAGTCGCCTGGGGTCAAGCACCCACCCATGAGTCAAACCCAGAGCGGAAGGAGAGACACCCAAGACCTCCCAGCTTGACAGGGAAGGGGAGGAGGCTAACTGTGTAACAGTTTCCACGTGCAGAGAACCTCAGGGTTACCTGGTCTCCTTCCTGACTCCACTAACCTTAGAGACCTCGTGGGACACGGCCGACCTCACCTAAGGCTGCTCTGACCCTGTGACTCACGGCTCAGGAGGCAGCCTAGGCAGGAAACTGGTGTCGCTCTGTTTTACTGTGCTTCCTACTTGTCGCCCTTCTCGTCTGATTCAGACGTGAGAGCCTCTGGCCCTCCTTCCCTTTCTTTCCTTGTTTTCTGCTCACTGTCCCCACCCAATGTGAAGAGCACAGAGCTGAACATGCAGTAGACAGAGCCTGATTTCACCATCAGCCTGGCCCCTTGCAAGAAGTCCACAATGGCCGGAGAAATGAGTTCTTTCTCTTTCCTGAACTTCACCAAATAAGGAGAAGAGGATCAGAAAACCAGTGTGATGAGATTATATGCAAGAGGGTCAAAGATTAAAAATCGCTGCCTCTCATTATTAGAGCAGAGATGACAGATTCAGACCAGAGCACAAAAGAAAATACATTATTTCAGAACAGGATATGAAACCCAGTCCCAGGTGATTAGTCTCTGTTAAGTAAATTTACTATCTAATCTTTTAACTGTCTCCCGAAATTGCTGGTCTGAGATCTCCCTCCCTCCTCAGCTGGAAGCTCTGCCGCGGGCGGGGGCTGTCATCTGCCCTGACTCCGTCAGCACGCCGATGGAGCTGGGACTCATCCTGCCGGGGTGAGGGGCACTGGGGGGCTGCAGCAGACGCGGCTGGAAGCAAAGGCACCTCACAACAACAACAGGATGCGTGCACCACAGACGCGCCCGACTGGAGGAAGGAAGGACGGGGACAGAGGACAGGGGATTGTCCCCTGACTCTGGCCGCAGAGCCAGGCCCATCAACCAGGAGACAGCTCTTCAGTGTCACTTTGGAATCGTCCTGGAGAAACTAGGCTCTCCCCTTTCCGCCCAGCCCCAAGGGGCCAACACGCCAAGGAATCCCATGCTCCCGGGTTGCTCTGTAAGCAGGCCAGCCTTCAAAGCTTTGATTTTAAATGAGTGCTGCTTCCCGGGCCAAACACCGCAGGCCTGTGCTGGGGCCAGAAGAGGGCGACCTGTGCACCTGGAGGCCCGGCAGGCTCACAGCAGCATCCGGGCCACGGCAACGCAGAGGGAAGACGGCACCGACTGGCGAGAAAGGGGGTCTATTTCTCAGTGTCTCTCTTGGCGCGGGTGCCACCGCTCGCACGGACCCTGAGAGCCAGAGAGGGAGAGAACGTCAGACCCACGGCGAGCCCTTCTTTCTCTATTTACCAAAAGGAACTCTTATTTCCTCTACGCCTCACTGTTTTCTCATCGTCTGTTTAGTCTAAAAGGCTGAACTATTGCACAAAGAAAGTTCTTTCCAAGAATGAGTTTTCCAGAAAAAGCTCTTCAGACAAGGGTGGTGTGTGCAATGCTCTGCGCCGCCTGGAGAATGGGGCATGTGTTTAACAGGAGGGGGCGGGAGCAGGCCGACTCCCCAAAGGATTCCTGAGGTGCTCTGTTTGTGTGATTTATCCCTTCTGGAAAATCCAAACATACAAATGCGCCTGCTGGCGCGGCCAGGGCAGACTCGGGGACTCGGGACTCGGGCCCCCAAACAAAGCTAACCGAGTACCATTCTCCACCCCTGGGGGCTTTCTCAGTTGTCACCTTTGTAGGTTGCCACCAGAACAGATCAAAGGGAAGTCGATGCCCCTCCGTGTGCTTCTCAAAGAACCCCGGGAGAGCAGAACCTGGGCAAAAAGGGGCTTTTTTTTTTGGCTCCTGGGACTTCAGAACCTGACATTATCATCCTGCTCATCAAGGAAGCGAAGTTACACAATCCTGAGGCCCCCGCACTACTCGAGAGTGGGCCGCAACCCTCAGAAGACTCAAGCCCCAAGCCCGTTTCATCTAGTGAATCACCGCTCACAGGAGATTTCATTCGCAGCCTAGGAGAGCGCGGCCAGTCCCCGCCCCCGCACCTCTTCCGCCCGCCTGAAACGGACTATGGAGGCAAGCCTGGGTTTGAGACTTGGGCGAAAGTCGATGGAGACGACAGAGAGTGAAAAACACATCCTCACTCATATGGCATTCGACCGAGGGGCAGGCTGCTCGCTGGGCCAGGAACCATGCTCAGGGCTTGAAATGCGTGATTTTATTTGAGCTTCAGAACAGGTCTGGGAGTCAATGCTTTTACCGAGGCTCAGAGAACGAAGGTCACCCTGCTTGGCAAGCGGCAGAGCGAGGCTCAGGACCAAGGCCTGCCTTTCTCCACGGTCCAAGGTCTCGTCCTCCCATATCGACTTGGACAACACAGCGAGGCTTCAGGAAGGCCCGAGAACATCCCGGGCCCTTGATCTAGTGCTTACAAGGCCATGGGCTTCACCTAAGAAATAGTCATGGAGGCAAAGACCTACTGGGCTGGCCGAAAAGTCTATTCAGTGTTTTTTTTGTTTGTTTTTGTAAATATAAGACATGTTTTTCATTTTGACCAATAGCTTTATTGGTTTGGATATTTTGAGTATGTTGGCTGTCTCCCACTATTGGCTTCTAGGAGGTGGAGGCCAGGGGTGCTGCTAAACATCTTCCAACACATAAGACAGCCCCGCAGCAAAGAATTATTTGGCCAAAACGTCAATAGTACCAAGAAACTTCACAAACCACTTTTGACACATCCGATCAGTCACAGAACCTTCTCTATACACTGCACAAATCTTTTTATGTATTTCAGTTGTGTTTTTACCTTTCCTGAAATAATATAGTATAATATGCCAAAAACATTGCATATTTTATTCCATCTTCAATATTAAAATGCCTGCACAGAAATTCACCAATTCTGATGGTTTTTTAAAATGCACGTTGATATGACAGCTATCACAACACAATCTAACAAAATTATTTCGAATGAAGTTAAAGACAACTAAGCACTACTAGAGCAATCATCGTAAGGAAAACAACTAAGCAAACTTTTTGGCCAAACCAATATTTAGAACGATGCTCAGTAACACTATTGGCAACAGCAGAAATTTGAGAGACAAATATGGTGTTATTTCCGTGCAATAAAACACTCTACTGTGGTCATTAAGTCACTAGGATAAAAGCATATTTAATGACACAGGAATGTTTACAGTGGAACGGTAAGTGAAAAAAATGGACGTGTAATTAAATGTCCATCAGCGAGGTAATGGCACGTCCATTGGGTACAGCTGTACACGGAACACTGTGGCAGTGAGGAAAGAATGATTGGGTTCCACGTACGTGCTGACTTAGAAGGATTTCTGCTTTATGCTAATTTGCCTTTTCCCCAAAACCATATTAATTTTTTAAATAAGAAGAAAAAGCATTAAAAACAACTTTCAACAATCACGTGCAAGGCACTGTTTTTGGAGACTGTCTCAGTATATGACTTGGTCACGATGTGTGTGTAATGACGTCGCACGTGAGCGAGGTTGCTTGTGTTTACCATACACCTGCGATCTGAACCCCACACGGTTTGCTCACAGGTGTGCATTCGCACGTTGTGGGGTGCCGGCTAACAGCGATGTGACTGTGTCACAGGCCAGATGTTGGTAAATGAGGGGATCTGAGGGCGTGGGTGGGACCTGAAGGAAGACGGTGGAGAAGACAACTGGGAAGGAAGCAGGAGAATTACTCCTTCGTCAGCAGCGGTGCCGATGCATACGACAGGGTTCCACACTGAGACCCTCCCTCATGCCCATTAAAATGAAACAAAATAAATAAAGCCTCAAGTGGCAGGACCAGCTGGGCTGGCAGAGCTGAGCATGGGCCTGATCGGCTGGCATTGTTCCCAGCCAAACACGCCCTGACTTTGCTTATTGCAGACCGTGCTGAATGGGTTACCCATTCAACTGCTGTCCCCACCTCTCCTGCCCTTCACCGTAGTAACCATAAACCTTCACTTCGTCCCCGATCGATAACTCCACGCCTGAATTCTAAAGAGGTATCCTCTGCTCTCACAGTTCTCTGATAAATGGTCTGAATCATCGTCAGGCATAGTATTCCTCCAGCTCTGGGTCATTGTGTAGAGGCACCTGGTTTCCCGAGAAGCTTCTAGGACCCTGGCTACGTGAGGGCACTGAAGGTTGGGGGTAAGACTGGAGGGAGTCCAGTCTCAGGGGACTGCCACCAGTCCATGAACTCTTGGTTCCTGGTTTCTGAAGACGTAACCACGGAAGCTGAGCGTGAGTCGTCCAGAAGCGGGCTGCACGACCTGACGTCGCCACACGCCGGCCGGTAAGTGACCACCGCCCGCGCACAGCCTTTCCGTGACCAGCGTGCACAGCGCTGTAATGATTTTCCTTTTTTCTTATTATGTGTATGCTGAGTTTTTTGCGATGCCCTTCTAAGCCTGTTGAAGTATGAAATATTCAGGCTTCTCTTTGGCATGTCTTCCCTACTCCACTTTTCGGTAAGTCATTTTTATTATATTTTAGAAAATGGGTTAGTCTACGGGATGGAGTTTTTCTTTTTTTTTTTTTTCCAGAAACGAAGTCTATCCCCACAGATACTTTGGGTTTAGTCCTTTCAGTTTTTTAAAAACAGACATAATCCAGAGTTGCGTAGAGCTGGCATTTGGGGCACAGCCTTGTTCCCGAGCAAGCCTCCAGCCGGGTGGCACTTGGAGGGCCACCAGGAGCTTCTAAGGATCTCTGGGCCGAGCTGATGGGAAAGCCAGGGGACTGAGAGAATTCTGGAGCCTAGTGGCCTCATTTTGTGCGGAGAGACTCCGGGTTAGCACCCGTATCGTATCTCAAACACGGTCGTTATCCCCGCGGCGCCCTGCCTTCCCGGAGTGTTGCTGAAACTTTTCAGTGTCTGTGACGGTGCCCAGCGACATGGAATTTGTATTTAAGAAAACCCCTGCTACAAGAAAATTTATATCACACTGGTGGTGGGGGCGGGGACTAAGGTATTGATTGCTACCCTTAGCATTTCACTGGCTGGTTCAATTTCTTTTGAGAAAGACTAATTGCGCCTTTTACGCCCAGCTGTCTCAGCCACGGAAAAATCACACCTGGAGGGCGAGAAGTGGTCACGGGGCTGTCCTGGAGACCTGGGTGCCCGGATGCCCCTGTCTCAAGTGACATTTCCGTTTGCCTGCAAGATGGATTTGAACGTCAAACGGCTAAGTCGGACTTCTCGATCTCTCCTGGCTCCAGAAAATGGAGCGATCAAAACACCGCTCTGGACAATAAAACGTTCTTCGTTTTGTGGAGTTCCCGCAAGCCTCATTCCCCAGGCAAACTCCCCGAGACGGACGAGACCCAGGGGTCTCCCTGGCTGGTGCCAGTGTATCTTTTCACATAAATCGAGAGCAGGTTAGTGCTAAGGTTTTCTCCACTTAAGCCCTGCAATCCCTTCTCCTAGGACGGGAGCAAATAGCTTCTTAATCAGCAAAGCTGCAAATCCTAAGGGGGACTTCAGGGTTGCCTCGTTTCTCCGAGGCTGAGATTCCTCTCGGGAGGCAGTGCAGGGAGCCGGAGAGGGAGTGAGGCCTCACGGAGGTTTGTCCCCTGCTCCTCCATGGTTAGCTGGGGCCTCCAGGGAGATCACATCTCATCCCTGCCAGCTCTGTGCCTCGGTTTCCTCGTCTACAGAAGGAGGGAACCTGGTTCCTGGAGTTAAAATTAAATTAGAAAGCACTTAGAACAGTGATTGGCACGTCATAAATGTTGTGATAATTATTTGCTTATTTAAGGGGATATGAGCCATTTCTAAAAAGTTTTTTTAGTTACACGGTATGGCTAGAGAAATTATAGAAAAATTTTCCTTTCTGAAAAGAAAATCCACCCCTGTCCCCCGCCATTGGAATCTAAGAATGGAATTATATTAAGATTCATTACCATATTAAAAGAAGACCAAAACATAAAAGAAAAAAGGCAAGAAAGAGAAATGGAGAGTTTGATAGGGAAAACAGTGGGCGAAAGGAAGGCAGACAGTGTAAAACGCACTTGAGACAAACCAGAGTATCACTTGACTTTGGAACTGAGTACAGGCCTACCGCCGAGACACTGTGCGCTCGGGCCCAGACCGCCAAATAGAGAGAGTATCGCAATAACACGAGGCATGACTGTACCATAACACTTTAAAAAATAATAAAAGAACCCAGAGAATCCCAGGGGAGGAAACAGACACGTGGGATGGGACTTTGAAATGCTGGTGGACGTGAGGAGGGGCCGGAGCTGGGCGACCAGCCGGGCTGCCACAACAGCCTGGTGCAGGCGCAGGCGCCTCCAGCAGCACCGCCCTCTCTGACGAGGGCCCTGCTCACTCAGCCTGGATTCCCTCCGTGAGAGCCAGCGACCCCGGGTGACTCTTACCATCATGAAGTTACGGTGGCTACACTGTCCTCTCAAGACCAAGAACAGAAGGAAGTGTTTCCCAACGCCCAAAGATTTCCAGGTGAGACTGCATGGGGCCTAAGGACCGCTTTTGGGGGCAATGTCAGGGTAACTCAGAAAACCTCCTGCATGCCCGATTTGCAATGCTTTCTACTCCTTAATGAATTAGTCTCCAAATTCACAGGAAAATAATCAGAACGTGAGGCCGATTCTTAGTTAAGTGTTGGTAACATGGGAGTTACCGGGGAGACCTACACGTAACAGAAGACCGTGTCAAACTTCAGTGGGCTCTGCAACCCGAGGTGCTTGTTCGGCAGGCAGGTTCCTGTCCTCCCTGCCCCGTTCTGAGTCACCAGGTCCACACAGGGGCGGTCCTGCACAGGCAAGCACCCAGACGACTCCAGTAGTAAACTCAAAGAAATAATGAGCCAGAAACATCCCACACAGGAGGGAAATGCTAAGAGAAAAGCCACGAGAAACCACAAAGGAGTCACCTAAAGTTTTCAGACCATTTCATAGAGTCACAGCGACTTGACCCTCGAGTGCCCGCCAGACGAGATGCCTGAGGGCCAGGCATTTCCAGTTGCCCCTGCAGCCACCTGGCTCTGCACCCTGCTGGAGAGTCCAGTGCCTGGGTGGGGAGCTGACGCACAGCCCGAGTTCACTTGCACCCTTTGAATGGCCAGCTCGGGAGGCAGGATTCAACTCGCTTTGCAGCTGCCATCTGAGCCGGCCCGCAAGGTGACTGCCAGTTCTTCTGGGTTCTGCGAGGTCTTAGGAAGGAGACAGAGACGAGGCTTCAGCAGTCTCTGCTCTGCTGTGGTCATCAGCTAGTCATCGGAAAAGCCGAGGAACAGCTTCGGTTCCACGGGGCGAGCATACGTCCCAAACCGAAGGGCAGGACGGTGACGGGAGGCATCTGTTGACTGATGACTTATCCCCAATCGTTTACTTCCCGGCTTTATCTTTTACTCACTTCAGCAGCCCCCACTTCTGTGTGCAGAGCCTGTCTGCCCACGTTTCAGTTACTGCGCATGAGTGGGGGGAGCATGTGGCCCTGGGCTCAGCCAATCAGAGCCTCTCATTTCTCTGTCCCATGACCTGGCTAGGACCAATGGGAAGGGGGTGTGTTTGCAGGAATACTGGAACAAAGACAAAAGCACGTGCAATTCTGTACTCAACTTGAACCTGGGGGGAGTAAGAACTGGACCTGTGGTGGCCGTCCTGCCACAATGAACAGCTGTCGCAATGGAGCCCCTGAGAGAAAACTAGGAGAGAAAGGAGAAGGGGAAGAAGGGGTCGGGGCGGGGAGAGGTGTGGCAGCTGTATCTGACCCCCTGATTAAATCACCCTGGGCTTTTTCACATCTGGCACTTTTTTAAAAAAAATTAAACTTGGGTTGGCTTTTTCTGAAACTTGGTGACTGAAGGAGGCCTAACCAACTGAGCACGGCAAGCTGTCCAGCCTCACAAGGAAAACGCCACCTGCACTCTCTTTGCACGAAGACGCTGCCCGCAGTCTGCCCATCAGGTGTGCGCGTCCCGCTGAGGAAATCAGAACACAGCACAGCGCTCTGTTCTTTCACATCTCTGGTCACACGCCGGTCCCACAACTTCCCCTCCCACGGTGCTAAGTGCTTTTTAGGTAAATTCCACGAGGTAGGGCAAACATGGCGGTCCCCCTATGCCAGGTGAGGCAAGGTGAGCTGACCCGCCTGAGGCTGATGGGTCATGAAAGAGTCAGAACACACTGCACGGCCCTGGGGGGTGGAGACCGGAGAGCCACCACCTGGACGGGGGGGTCCTTCTCTCCTGGGTTCCCTGGTCCCCCCACCCTCCCCAACCTTGGCAGTCGAAAGGCGTCTCTCAGTCCACATGGGTAGCTGGAGGAAGAGGGCTTTCAACACATTCACTCATCGCCAGAACGCTGCATGCAGGCTCCCGCCCCGATTCCCAGCGTCCTTGCCCAGCTCCGCCCGGCACAGTCCTTGCCCGCCCCTGCCCTGCACACACCCTCCCGTGGTGCTCCCGCGACGTCGGCTCTTCCAGACGTGCCATGAGCACCACCCCCCAGACCTGTGCCAGCCCTGTTTCCTTCCACCAGGAAACAGGTCGAGGTTTTAGCACGGGCTTTGCGTCACCAGGACCTGGGTTCTAATGGGGACCCTCTCACTATTGATACAAAGGTGGGCAAGTGACGACCTCCTGAAGGCTCAGTTTCCTCACCTATAAAGCGGGGGCCATCATCAGATCTCAGGGAGCTTTTGCAAGTTAAAGACATACGTGCAAAACCCTGGGCACGGGCCTCACTGACAACAGTAAATACTGTTAACGGGAGCTCAGGCTCACGGACGCTGTCAGCACATCATTTCACGGTCACTACACTAGCTGCCCCTGTTTATGCGGGTCCTCCCTGTCCGTCCGCAGCTCCTCGCAGCCCTGCCTTCTGCCTTCGTTTTTAACCCCGACCACTCCAGTTGTCGCTCCCCCTCCATGGCGGGCCCGCTGCTTGGACGTGAGAGCATCATCCTTTCCCCCATGTATGCGGGACCACCTGTTTGCCCCGCCCAGAATCCCTGCGCTGTCCTGCGTTTCTGTTCACTCCGCTCTGGTCTCCAGCACAGCCAAGTGGTCGAGGTCACGACCTTTAGCACGACGCTCTGCTGGCTTCAGACCCTAGCTCTTAAAAAAGTGACCGCTTTCCAGGCCCAGTTTTCTCATCTGCAGACCGGTGATGACAAGAATGCCTCCCACTCTGGGATGCTGGAAACACTCTGGAAGATACCGACCGTATGCGAAGTGCCAGGAGTAGTTGTTTATCACGTGCACAGAGCAAGTTCGACCCTTGTCAATCCAACTACCGCCTCAGCCGCACAGCACTTAGCTGCTGCCTCAAGCCAGGTAGGGGATGAACTGACTTAACCCAGAGGCATTTCCTCCCCCGCAGTGACACGCGCTCTCCCACATTCCCCCTTACGGCCACGAGGTGGCAGCCTATCCATTAGAGAGGAAGCTTCTACTCCTCGAACAGGGAGGGGATGATTTGTTGTAATACATAGATGACTTTTCTTTTTCCTTCTTGGTGGTGGAGGGCGGCGGAGGTAGGCTGAAAATCCTCAGGCAGCGATCCTGCTTCCATTTTCTGTGAGTTTATTATTAGTGCCAAATAGCGCGAAGTGACTGCTCAGAAGCTGATCCGACAGGTCAAACTGCACGGGGAGGTGCTGCTTTGGAGGAATGAATGGGGCCGGCCGATGCCCCTCACCCGTCAGCCTGGCTCCACCGGGAACCTGGCTGGGTTCAGGGGTCCCCTCCAGCCTGCGCTTCCCCTGGCCTGCTCCTATGTGAAGGTGTCAGGGAGGCTAATGTATGGCACTGTGGGCACACCTGGGGTGACCGTTTTGTCTAGGACTGTCCCAGTTTAAAAGCTGGAAGTCCTGTGTCCTGGGAAGTCCCTGATCCCAGGCAGACCAGGGCGGGTGGTCACTCTGCCCTCACAGCTCCTCTAATTTAATGACATGGCCCCCCTCTCTCTCTCTCTTTCTTCTCAATTGCATGGACACAGAATTCGCCAGAGCCCTAGAACTATATAATTCTATACTGGGAAGGGTCACAGACAACAGTCATTGTCCCCAGGGAGGGGAGAAGGGGAAGGGCTTGCCCGGGTCACACGACTGGGCTCACAAGGAAAGGTCCAGAGCCCTGAGTCTCACCTGAAGCTTGGGCTTCCTGTCCACCTGGAGCCCTAGGGCACAGAGGGAGGGGTGTCTGGCTCCTTGGCCGAGCTCTCAGGATAGCTTCTGGAAATGAGCAACCCAGGGAAGCCCCCCTACCCCCCAGGGAGACGAGGATCTAACTTAAAGCAAACTTCACGC